CATTTAATAGCCACCATGGAATCCGCAAAAGTAACTGGCAGGCATGAGAACTAAATTCACAATCTCCTGCTCATTAACATTATGCTTTAACTCCCTGAGCTACCCAATCACAGTTCCTGGAAGAACAAGGACTTCACAGTACTACGGTTTTAAGAATGTTCACGAATTGTTCAGTGTGGCAAAAATACATAAAATGAAGCAGAATGGATGGACTGTAGCTTCTATCATAGTTTAATGTGTGAAACATCAAAAATGGCGTAAGAAGACTAAGTAGTTACTTTAAGTAATAAGCACTGTACAGAATAAAATGGTCACTAAAAGCATCTTAAACTGCATAAAGTGGCGCTATGATGGTTACTTATCTGATATTTTAGTGATGACTCTCTTTATTAGAAAAGCCAAGGGAATAGAACATAAAATTGTTTTTAAAAACTTAAAGAATCAGATCTTAATTCTTTCTGCTTCTATAGTCTTCTTTGTATCGCAAACAAGATTTAACAAAGTAAAAAAATAAATTATGCTGTTAAATGTAAAGTTCTACTTAGGAGTTAATTTCTTTCCACTTGGGCACATATCTACCTTACTAAATTAAGTACAGTTTTCCTTCTTTGTTTCCCAACAGCCAAAAAATTCAAAGTTAAGCTTTGGAATTCAATTCACATTTTATAGCAGAGACTCATCTCTTTCCCCACACAGAAAGTTTGGGTGTAAAGGCAGTCCCAAGGAGGAGCGATGTCCTTGTATTAACGAGGAGGGGTAAATTTAAAGATTAAAATACTTGAATTAAACTTGGAGAGGCTAAGAAGACTACTTGGATATGTAACTCTGAAGGTTAAGAAATAGTGCTACTACAATAAATAGATACCAAAATAATACATGGAGAAAAATGTGATTAAATCTCATGGTATAATATTTAAAAATACGTGGACATTTATAAAAGATGTAGAGACTAAATAGGAGAAAAGAAGAACATTTTCTGATATAGCTCCAGACACCCTAGGAGAAATTGAAACGGACATGGTGCTTGGGGAAAGTCAAATAAATAGAAAAGTCAGGAGAGCAGGGTAGTTGCTTAGGAAACATTTCAAGGGAGTCATAAGGAGCTTAGAGTGATAGACCCCGTTGCCGAAACCTTCAAAAGGGTGAGGTTACTGCTAGGATGGGGTTTTGATAAATGTAAGGAGAGTATTGTTTAGAAAAAAGTTTGAAGGTCTATCTAAGAAATACTAAATAATTCAAGAATTTGGACTAAAGGGATACCAGCAAACCTGCTGAAGCAGGGCATTATCAAGAAGGGTCTGACCAAAGCACTAAGCTGAATCAAGCTGTACTGATCACTAAATGAAGATATCCTTGAAACTTATAACAATTCTACAGAGTTTACACCCTGCTATTTTTTTCACACTTTAGGGAAACTTTTTAAGATTTTAAAATATGTGATATAGTAAAACTGACTTTGGATTTGGGGGCCAATGACCTGGATTTCAGTTCTGGTTCTACCACCTACCAAACTGCATAATTCAAGGCGGGGTGGGACAGGGGCAGGAGGAAATCACAAAACCTAAATGTTAGCTTTCCCCTATATAAAAGGCAGCAATGTTCTTTGCCTGGCCTGAACGTATTTTATAACTGTTCAGGCCACAGATTGCAATTATTAAAAGGACCACTGAGCACAGCTGCTGAAGAGGGAGTCTTCAACCTCAGAAGAGCACGTGTGTGTGTTCTGGGGGCTCCGGGGCGGAAATCTTTGATACAGGGTGCCCTTAGATAAGGTGTACCCAGCGTGGCAAGCAAAAAAGAGCCAGTAACTTTGGCCATGGCCCTGGTAAGCACCAAGGCAACAGTTAGATTGTGCTGTTCCCTCTGTGCCTCCTATTAAAGCACAGAGATGGAGAGTGGCAGAAAAAGTCAGAAGGCAAAGAGAAGTACGCACTTATAGCAAGTATTAACATATATTAATTCAAGCTGAACATTATAACCTCTGAAATTATGAGAATAGCTTGAGGCTGTAACAAGGATACTGCATTAAGCAATAAAGAGCAGGTCCAACAAGGCCCGGATAGTTCTGGGGTGTCCTACAGCAGCAATAGGCTACGAGCCGTGACTTGATCCCTGGCTGGTAGCAGCTCTACATTCCATTTCCCAGCCCAAAGCACAGGAAGACACTGGCCTCCCTGTCACTGCCGTCACTGCGTCCATAGAGAGCTGAGCCAGGAAGCTCAGGTCTCCTGCAGTTTCAAAATACACCCTTTTGGCACCAGAAGTGGCAAAACCGAAACAGGCTTGTGAAGACCTGAGCTCAGAAATATTTGAAAAAAAACAAGTTTAAAGTTCTTTTGGGGAATTGTGAAGTGTTATACCATGGACAATTAGAAGATCAATGTTAAATGTATAAAACCCAACATCCAAACCTAAATGGCAAACTTCATTTCCCATCCATTTGAATAAAATCAGCCTGCTACAATTAAGATTAATTTTGCGTGCAAAAGGTAGCAAAGAACAGCACATAGTGATTTTCCAAGTCTTGAAATAAAAACCTTAATGAGTCAATTTAAAGACTGGCACCTCAGTGACAGGAGAACAAGCTGAAGCCCCTATTTTGTTTCTAAGGACCTTTCAATATATTCATTTTCTAGGGTCAATGGTAATTTTTATCCAAGCTTCTTTCTGAGTTTACTACAGTTTTTACAAACAGCAAAATTCCTAATCTAAATACTTTATACTGAAAATAGTGGCAATGAGATCAGGTTGACATGCATTAAATGGTTATTAAAAAGAAAGGAAGGGGGCTGGGTGTGGTGGCTCATGTCTGTAATCCTGGCACTCTGAGAGGCCAAGGCAGGAGGATTGCTTGAGGTCAGGAATTCGAGGCCAGCCTGGGCAATAGCAAGAACCCATTTCTATAAAAAATAGAAAAATAAGCCAGGCACGGTAGTGTGCGCCTGTAGTCCCAGCTACTC